CCCTTTAAGTACTGAAAGGCTGCAATAAGGTCTCCCTGGAGCCTTCCCTTCTCCAGGCCAAACAACCCCAACTCTCACCCTGTCCTCATAGGGGAGGTGCTCCAGCCTCCTGATCATCTTCATGGCCCTCCTCTGGACCCACTTGAGCAGGTCCACGCCTTTCTTATGCTGGGGGCCCCAGAGCTGAGTGCAGTACTTCAGGTGGAGCCTCACCAGAGCCAGGCAGAGGGGGAGAATCACCTCCCTCAACCTGCTGGTCATACTTTTTTTGATGCGGCCCAGGATACGGTTGGCTTTCTGGGCTGCGAGCGCACATTGTAAGCTCATATTCAGTTTTTCATTCACCAATTCCCCCAAGTCCTTCCCGCAGGGCTGCTCTCAATCCACTCATCACCCAGCCTGCATCCATGTTTGGGATTGCCCGACTCAGGTTCAGGACCTTACACTTGGCCTTGTTGAACTTCATGAAATTTGCATGGGCCCACCTCTCTAGCCTGTCAAGGTCCCTCTGGATGGCATCCCTTCCCTCTAGAATATCAACCACACCGCTCAGCTTGGTGGCATGCTTTTCATGTCTTTGGACTTCTTTGATCACTCTCTCTCAAAAAAAAAAAATTTATTTTTCTTAAAGGCTGTTCCTCTCCTTGTATAATATAGTGGCAGTCTGGAGTGTTTTTTGTGTCCTTCCTTATACAGGAAGGGTTTGATAGCATGCACTCCTGGTGGATAACCTGGAAAATCATCCAAGTCAGTCCATAGATGTTTTTTTTTTTTTTTTTTGGGGGGGGGGGGCGGTCAGGAACTGTTTGAACATCTTCCTGGAGCATGAGTGTCCTGGTCAAGATGAAAGCTGCTTCAGGGGCATGGCTGCTTAACAGGGACTTTTGAAATGTAGGTTCAAGTCTCTCATGTGTCTTGGCCTTTTTTTATTATTCGTTTTTTATATAAAAGGGGATGACAGTAATGCTGTCCTACCTTGCAGGATTATTTTACAGTTGTCCCAATGGTCACAAGCACAAAAGGCCTCTGGGAGACAGTTGTTTTAAAGTGTGATGTACAGGGCTCGGTCAATTTTGAGAGAACACCACGTTCTCTCAGACTGGATAAGGGCAAGAGAAAGCATTAAAAGGCTGATTTCTGTGGAAAACAGAGCTGTTTTCATGAGAAATTTTGAGCTGCCCAGAGGGTAACAAAGTCGCCGTGACAAATAAAAGGCGGCAGTCTGGGGAAGAATGGTGCCAGGCTGGCCTCCCTCCATGCAGATGTGACTGCCACAACGATAAGCAATAAGCACAGCAGAAAGACACAACGAGTACATCAATTCAGAGAACTGCACAGCTTACCCAAAGCGAATTGAAAGAGCACTAAAACCTTACATAGGCACTCCTACTCAGAATTAAAGTGGCTTTCATTTTAGAAGCAAAGCAAACCATCAGATTAAGGGAACCTTCATTCTGAATAATTACGTGCACATTGATTGAATGCAGTTTAGATAAACTACTTTAAAATTACTTCAGATTAATCTTCCTGATTGTGCCTGTGTAGGCAAGTACTATGGGGCAAAGCTTTGTGAATATTTTAATACCTTTTAGGAACTTGGGAAACAAAATATATGCCTAGATTGGAAAGATCGGAAGTTGCCTCTCAAACTGGTTCCCAAAAAGCCGTCAGTATCTTTAAAGTGCTCAGGGTTAATGGAATCCATCAGAAAAAAAAATTATAAGACAGTTAACTGTGTGTCCCTACTTATGTTTTGAAAAATAGGCCTTCTGTCAATGTGGGCAGAATAAGCTCTGACTGTAGCTCTACCCAAAGCAACATATCTGACTGGCTAAAAGTAAGGGTCAAAAAGAGAAATAAGCATCTAAAGAGGTATGTATGAAAACTGTGGTTCATGCTGATTGATTGAGCTCAAATTCAAAATATTTACTAATTTGGATGAAAGAATGGTCTACTGAAAAACATCAACCGAGTAGAAACATGCTTTTCTGCAGCCTCTGAGAGGCTATGGCAAAAATTTCTTGTAGAAAAATCTCATTCCCCACTGTGGAGGAACCGAGAGGCAAAAAGCAAGTATTAGCTGTCACTGATAGCCTCATTAGCTACGCTTCAGAAATGCACCCTGTCTTCTAGAAAACTTTACAGCAATGATTTCTTTATTTACTCCCATACTGAGCCTTGCATGAGCAGATTCTCAGGTGCGACAGATTGCCCCAAGAGACTACTAATGATATAAACCACATTGTTTTCTAAGTCATGGATGGATGTGCAGCAATAACAGTAAGCCATTTAGGGGAGTTTTGCTAGACATCTGGCAATTTATGTGAAATGAGCTAACACTTAAAGTAAGCTTCTCAGGAGAGGCAGTGTATAAAAGTCCAAAGGAGATGACTCTTGTACCTACCCTTTGGTAGATGGGGTACTGAGTGTGATAACTACAGGAGGAACTACAACTGAGTTCCTCTGAACTACCCTGCAGTTCAAATTAGGGAAGGTCGTAGGCTGGTCCTGAAAAAACAGTAGAGTTGCAAAACCATAACCAGCTCCCAGATAACCTATTCCATATGATAACTCATCACCTTATGATGACTTGAGTATGGATACAGTAGAGTACTGAAGCCTGAATCTTTGTCCTGGTAAAGAGCTTTCTCCTATCTGCTTGCAAATCTGGCATAGGGTCATGGAGAGAATTCAAGAAACTGCCATGAAGATGGCTTCTACTTCAATAGATGGGAGTGACAAGTGGGAAGAAAGTTAAGCCTAGGTGCTCTGTTTGAAGCAGAGGGAAAAATTAAAGGGAAACATTAAAGCAGGTTCAGTGACACATTAATCTTTTTTTTTTTAATTTGATGTGGTTTACTGCCCTTAGACCATAAAGGTCTGATATTTAGGTAGCTGTGAAAAAAAAAATGAGCTGCTACTATGCTTTCTACCACACTGCAACAATACCTAGATGAGCTTAAGTAGCATGTAAAAAGAACAGGGGAATTATAAAAAAATAAAAAAAAAAAAAAAAAAAAAAAAAAAGACTTGGTGAACTCAAGTTCATTGCTGAGCCATGTTTGCTCAGGTCGCAAATCTTAACATTCAGAAGAAGATAACTTTCTCAGCATGAGTTCATGCTGAGCTCTATTTGAAATTTACGTACAGTATTGCAGCCCGTGTCCATTGGCTACGTATGCCAATCAGCTTTATGAAAAGAAATGTCAATTGTAACGGCAATGCCAAGATCTTAGTGCTGCCTGTTTCAGCAGAGCTTGGAGATTCCAGCCTATTCTTGCTCATATTCAGTTTACCTCTATTTCTAGGGTAATTCTTGCCTCCTGGATAACTGGAAGTCTTTTTATGGACCAATTTCCTTCCGTAGCAGAATGTCAGAGAGAAATCAGAGTAATACATCAGCCAGGGATTTCCCTGCAAACAGCTGAAGCCAGCTTTCTAACTAGCAGAGGAGCACAGAGCGGCTGACATCAACACAGTACTGGCATACCGCTCTTGTGTTGCACAATAAATTCTCTGTGGTGGCAGGGAGTAAAGGAGGACGCTGGCCGAGTTACGTTATTTACACCAGGATTCCTTCCACATGGGACACGTGTGCCTGTGTTCCTCCAGGCCATGACACTGCCAAGGCTCAAATACCAATTGTAATGGTAAACTGTCCTCGTAAATACAATTCAGAACTTACTCATACTCAGAAATGTCCCAGATTTCAGGGTGCTGGGCCAGTGCTGGCAACTGCTAATTATGCATCTGTTTTATGGGGGGAAAAAAAAAATATTAGAATGTTCTAAACTTTGCCAGTCTCAAGTCCTTATGCAAGCTTGAGTCTTTACTCATGACAGAAAGAGGCAATCACATCAGAAAGTTGCAGTGGTGGAAATCTTGCTATACAGAGGACAATGTAACTAACCAGTCCTCCTCTTCTGGCTTGGGAACCTCTCTAGTGTGTAAAAGCCGAGTTTAAAAGATGTGCTGTCCCCCAGGTACTGGAAAGGGTGGGAACCCTAGGCGATGCTTAGCTATGGCCATTCAGTTCCTTTTCTTTTTGAGCAATCTCCTCAAGACAAGGCCTGGAGATGGGAAGACGACCAGGGACTCCAGGCTGAGGCAGCCAGTTCTCAGACCTTGTTAGAGATCTGCTCTCCGTAACAGTGGCAGGCATGCAGGAGGCTGAGGGCGTGCAGTTTCTTACCTGGGCTTTCTCCCTGTGAGCCTCATGTACAGGTCGTAGAGTATGGCTGGTGCCTTGTGACTGACAGTTATCCAGTACTGGTTTATCAAGTAGTTGGATGTCAAGTGAGCGTTGGGTGTTCGGAAGGCCTGCTCCAGCGGGTTCCTTTTGAACGTGGACATGACATACTGCTCTGTAAGGGAACAGGCACCTTACTTAAAATCAGGCACTTAATGTCAGTTGAGTTGGGCACAACCATACCAACATGCTGCAGTAAAGCCCAAGTTACAGCGCTTAACATGTTTAACCTACAGCTCTGCAAACTATGTAACCAGGGGTTGGAAAAGATCACCTCACGGTCCCCTCTGGCATTAAAATTGATGACTCCATCTGTTGCCTATTTGAAATACAATCTGACTCTAGACTTAATAGCGGCAGACAAAAACTTCCTTATCAAAACGCCAAAACCTAATGGAGGAAAAGCAGGCAGTTGTAGCCTGAAACGCTTCAAACCACGGAACTGCAGTTCTGCTTTCACCTGCAGTAGATGTAGAAAAAAACTGGTAAGTGTTAACGTATCTTCAGATCACTGAAAGCAAACTTTGATCTGCTAGCATAAAACAAAAATGACATTTCTAAAAATTTTCAAAAGGGCTGTTGTTAATGGAGGAAAAGCAGGCAGTTGTAGCCTGAAACGCTTCAAACCACGGAACTGCAGTTCTGCTTTCACCTGCAGTAGATGTAGAAAAAAACTGGTAAGTGTTAATGTATCTTCAGATCACTGAAAGCAAACTTTGATCTGCTAGCATAAAACAAAAATGACATTTCTAATTTCTAATGAAATTTTCAAAAGGGCTGTTGTCAATACTTACACACATAGGGTGCTGCTTCTAGAAAGACTTCATTATATCCTGTCAAACCACATCTGACCTACCACACCAAATGCTTCAGCCTGTTTTCAGAGGAGCTCTGGATGCACTAAAGCAGCAAATTGTCTTGCATTCTTAACTTGAAAACTAATGATAGGGTAGTAATCTTTCATTCCCTTTGTATGTTAAGGCACAAAAGATGTTGGGCCTGATTATGAGCTCTTGCAATAGCACAGCGCCACAGAAGTGGCATCTAGATGTGCATATCTGGGGCATTTGCATATTGCAGAGGCTTAATAGAACTGCAGTAGTTGAATATAAGACTATCATCCTAGGGACTGATAAACAGATGGTGCTTCTATTCCTGAGCACCAGTGAGCTCAACAAAGAAGAATACGTGGGCTGCTTTTTACTTTTTTAAAAATGAATTTGAGCATTACGACATCAATCTGTGCTCATATAGTTTACTCTCTAAGCTTATGTTACAAATAGAAAATCAGATGAGAATTTACAAGTCACAAGAAACATCCAGATCATCCTTAGATAAGCAGATTCCCATCATAATATTCAGACAGTCCTCTCATGTATCTGCAGTCAGCTCATTACTGCACTTCAAGTAGTGATTTTTGCTGTACTCGTTCTAAGTAAGAGCAACTAGAGGAGACTTGTTAGCCACTTAGCTGCTAAGTTTAGACAACAAAGACTTTTAAAATAGTACAATTTAGTTTTAGTGCAAGTTCATTGTTAATTTGTGTCCTACATGCTGCAAGTTTAATGGCTGAAGACAAGTTCTCCTGAAACTCATCTTGCATCTGAATAGCTAGAACTGGCTGCCATCCCTTCTGTTTCACATAGCCACACTGCAATGATGTGGTTATCTTGTGGTCATCCTGTGGGTTGTGGTATGGAAATCTTATCCTTTGCAGCATGTTCTCTCACCATCATAAATGAAAAGTGCAAGTGTCGAAACTGCTGCTATATAATCAGAAGTGAAATTTTCTAAAAGAAGAATTTCCTTCTGTCTTTTCTCTCTGAACCCCACAGGTTTCTGCCTCAAGCCCCAGCTCTGCAGCAGCGGGTAAGAACGTGGATTAGTTTTTTAAAGAAACAGAGAGTTTATTTACTGTTGTAGCTGCGCTCCCCACGTACAGGACCCACAGCAATCTAACGGGGAGAGGACCGGGTGGGCAGGGGAGAGGCTGCCTCCACGCTGCAAGCACCCGCCAAGAGCTTTGATACCACGAACGCGCTGAGCACACACATCTGCAAGAGAGCATTTGTAGAGGTGAAGCACAGCATCAGCCGTGTTGCCAGCCCCGGGAAGGGGATCCACACAGGGTGCTGATAAATACGTCAACAGCTTTGCCAGCTGAGGAGAAGCTACTCTTCCCAGTGGCGGATTTACCACCCTGATTGCCACCTGTCCCAGCTGTGCTGGCAGAGCTGTACACATGCATGCTCTGTCAAAATGGCAAGGATTAGCAAAAACCTCCTATTTAAACTTTCCCATGTAGTTGTGCCTGGCAGGGAGGGCTCGCTGGAGCGATTTTACTGAAGATTTGGAAAGGTGTTTACTCCTGGCAGGGGAGTGGCAATAAACAGTTTGGGATGAGCTACTGGGAAGGAAGCCACTGTCCTGGCCCGGCTCTTGGCAGAGTTTGTGTCTGGCTAAGCAGTGCGTGAGGAGTTTCTTTCCTCTGTGTTAGCAGCACGGCCATTTACTACAATTATACTGTGACAAAGTCCTAGCTAGCTTAAATATAGAGAGATATGCTCCCAGTTTGAAGAGGGCTGTATATCTGTGCCCATTCAAGTAGCTCATGGACCGGGAGAGCAATCCCATGAACTCTGCTGCTGCTCCCTGTAAGGAAGTTTCTCCAAGAGACACTTTAAATCCAAGTTTACTTACGAACTCTGATCTGCTTATCAATATTTAAGTTTATTTTGTTTCATTCGGTCACTTCATTTCCTAATAGAAACCTATCAGCTTAACTGGGAACCATTGATATTTTGGAATTGTGATAGTTTTGATATTGTCTGCAGCACATGTTTATGGCTTTGCTTATTCAAATCCTGATGTTAATATACCGCAAATCTAGTTTTCAGCTGTAAACTGGTTGAGGTGGTTTCCCTTTGGAAACATGTTAAAGACATTACTGCCTTTCTTTTCTCTTTGCATTTTTGGCATCTTTGGTCAGGATAGCAAGAAAGTACTAATCAGTAAGTGGAAAATGCAGCCCTTGTCATTTCAGATCATTGGCCATACACCAAATTCACACAAACCAGCAACACCCTTATCATCTTGGATACTTAAGGCTTGCAGAGGAAAATGCAGCTGTAGTAAAGCAGCTGCAGTATTATGCTGTGATATTACTCGGTGCAAGAAGCACATATGTCAAGAGCAGATGAGAGATCTGCTGAAAACTCAAGAAAAATTCTGAAAATCGGGAACGAAAGCGGTTTTGTTTTAAAATGCACATACAAAGGCAGCGAGACCAACCTGAAAGATGTACTGGAAGGAAGTCAGGAAAACACCAGTTTTGTGTAACTTGGAACAGTTAATGCTATGGGCATTTTCTTTACGAACCTCCCTTACCCTGGCTTGCACTGACTCAGCACAATTGCACTATTTTCTAATTTCTGGAAAGTGTTCAACTTCGCAAGCGTAGCAGGTCTCTTATGCTGTAAGAGTTTGTTTTGGAGAGAGAGCGAGAAAGAATCAGACAGACAGATGGGTCAGGCAGGCAGAGAACCCTGAACCAGAAATACATCACCTCTAGGAGCTACTGAAACGACTTAGTGGGTGGGTGGTCTTCCCCTCTGACCACGGCACAAAACCACAGCAGCAAATTCTACAACTCAAAGGCAGATTTAGCAGGGGGAGAGTCAGATACCAGTCTCGCCTAGGTAGACTGTCAAGGATAAATTGAAATTAAATTCTCCCACGCTGAACACCATTTTAAAGCCTGCTTTGAAGTTTAGTTTTGAGCAGAAATTGCTAAATGTACTTCACAAAGTCAGACTAGCAAGACTTATATTGCAGCCAAGCAGAATACGCTTCTTCAGATTAATACTCAGTTGTCTGACCACATTTTGGTAATAGCAGGGAAAATAACAGCAGTAATGGAAGACAATAAGAAAAAAATCCCAAGGCATAGCATTATTTGGAAAAGAAATAAATCAGTTAAGGTTCCTTTCAACACTAGAGGTTTGTCTGTATCTGGAGATTGGTAGAATAAACTGGTCTGCAATGGATGTTTAAGCATAAGCTCTTAACTAGACATATGTTTTTCAAACAATTCTCTTCTAGATTCTCTTTCTTCTCCCTCCCTCCCAGCTCATCACCTTTGTACTCAGAATGTCCCCATCTCAGTCACTTCTGTTCCCTACCCAGGGCATCTTCAGCCCACTCCTGTCTCAATTTCTCTGATCTTTCTCTCCTTTCCTCCTCTCCCCCCAAAAAATCCCTACTCTGTTGCGTTCGCCTGTCCTTCCTACAGCTGGTCCCGGTATAAGTCTCCCTAACCAGGTAGCCCAGGTCCTCCCCTCTGCAAACCCCATGTTTGGTTTGCACTATTAACGTTCAGCCCCATGCCAGATGACTCCCATTCCCCACCCTTGTTTCTCATCAGCTTCCAGTCTTGCTCTCACAACCCTCCATCTCGATGACCGGTTATAGACCCTGTACCAGTCTGACCTCCCCAGACTCCTTGAACAGACTCTCTTTCCCTCTGCTGATCCTGTGTCTCCTGTATGTTTGCATCAAACAGCTGCTTTAATGCTGGGGAAAAAGAAAAATTCTGAAAAAGCTGAAAAACCACTGGAGGTAGAGACCTGGCTTCCACTATTTCAACCTGAAAGGTTGGCAGATCTAAACACAGTTGGAAACAGGCTTTCGAAAAGAGAAGGTGACAACTCAAGTAGCCAATGCTGCCCCATAGCGAAGGAGGGAACTGGTGGGTGAAGTTCAGTCCTTCTGTGCAGGGGCTGCGCTACTCAGTGATAGCTCTTATTTCACAGAGATCATGGCTCTGAAAGGCCTGTTGGAAGTGCACGCCCTGAGACTGGCTGCCTAGAAGCCAAATAATAGTGAGTAGACAGAGAGAGTAATATGAATGGGTTGAGAAAGTCTGTCATATATATAAAGAAGATTTTAGAATTGTATGTGTTTAACAAAAAGAAATTGGTAGAAGACTGAATTGAGGATTCAAACTGGATGGCTGCAGTCATAACATCCTAATGCAATAAACCTTTCCCAAACTCATTTCTTAAACCATGCAACGTCTTTAAGGGCAAAATTTTCCTCTTTGATACTCCATCCTAATTCCTGTTCATGAATCTATACCTAATACCCTTCTGCAGCCTGCTGCTCTCAGGAAAACTGTGGATACAACATGTGGTAGAAGGAGCTCCACAGTGTCACCCAAGGAGAACATTTTGCCTTCAGTCCCATCACGGAGCTGAACTGCTTATGCAAGCTTCTGCTGCACTCAGATGATTTCATTGCTAAATCCACAGTTATGAGCAAAGTAACAGAATAAGATCAGTTACAATGCATTAATACATTGCTGTTTTCATCAGTGAAATTACACTGAAAATGGGTTAAGAAAGGCAAACCTCAGGTAGTAGTGCTATGGTGGCTGTTGCCTAAAGTAGCAGTCTGTGAAGAGCTTTGCATTTACTCCTGTACAAACGCACAGAAGTTCTGACTTTACATGTTATGAAGACTGGCTACATTCTCCAACAATCATCTATGAAGCCTCACCTCTCCTCTCAGACTGTGACAAACCACAATGTTAGATCTCTTATAAAAAAATACGTCAGGAACTTGGTGTGATTTTCTCACCGCTCAGCCAGTTGCTGAAACCTCTTCCCTGCTAGATCGCTTGATCAAATCTCATGGTAGGACATTAGTAGGATTTTCAGACAGACCTTGTTCTGAAAATGCAATTATGGTCTGATTCTCTGCTGACTTACAGTTTGCCACTTAAATAACGCAAAGACAAATGCAAAGCAAAGGCTGAGAGGTGAAACACCACAGTAGTGATTTGCCAGCATCCTGTATTTAAAGCAAAAAGATATGAATTAATGTGTAACAGAAAGTGAAGCAGGCCCCGTGCATCTGTCCATGAATGTACTGACTGTATGTAGTATTTCTGCTGCTTGGCTACGGCATGAGTTTTCGACCGTAAGGGTGTCAGGAGTTGTCTCCCTTTCTTTCACCCCTGCCTTGGAAGCACATCCACTTGAAGAAGTCAGCCATGAAAATAATTTGAATTCTTCCACTGACAAAATTCACGATCAAAAGGCAAACTGTTCTTGAAGTACACCTGTCATTTCAAGGTTTGCCTTCTCAAGTCTACACCAATTATTTCTGTTTAGAATATTCTTCACAGAAAGAGGAAGAAAGGCTGCTCTACTTCCTTAATATACTGGTTTTCGGTGTCCTGAAAGTTAGAGCCTCCTTTATAAGAATACAAGATTCACTATCAAGGTTCTCCAAGTGATTTCAAAGCACAAAAAGAACCCCAAACCCAGCAACCCCAGCAATCAGAAAATGAAGATGTCCTGTTACAGCTACGCAGAGCATCTTCTCATAGAATTAAGGGACTGGTTCTCTGTTCCTTTTTCCACCACTTTAATTCCTCAGTGCAGCAAAGCACGTTCTTTGCTGGCTTGTTATGTGATTACACCCACAGTGAAAACTGAATAGATGCTTTCCTGAGCTGAATGCTCAGCACCAGGAGCTTTTGCTCTCAGGACTCTCACCGACTGCCATTGGGCCTCCCACATGCAGTTTGAATGGCAGATGCTGAATGCCACCTACATATAGGAAACCACCTTTTCAAAGCCTGGCCGAGGAACGCTATTAAAGTTTGACACATTCTAGGTTTGAATTAAACCTTACCCATTTCTCCCCAGAAGAAAGGGTTGATTCCACCTGTTGTGCAGTTGTACACCAACATGTTTTTTGGTCTGGAAAAGAGAGAGAAGTGTTATTTTAAGGTGTGAAGGAAAGCACCCAAAACTTTATTAATGGAGCGTGAAATCTAACAGCAGTAACATCAGCTCATAAAAAAAAATGCAGAAGAGGTCATTTTTCATAAATATGAAAATGTAGTATAAAACATGAAGTTTTAATAAGATTCAGTCAGATTCTGGAGACCATATGAAATTAATAAAGACAGATGGGGTTTAAGAAAAATCATCCATATATCACGTATCAAAAATTATAAAAACAATAAAGAAAGCATGCATACTGGTAAGTTTCTGATTTTTTTTTTTAAATAGTTTCTCTTAGTATACTGTAAATAATTGGCCCAAGCCAACCTCAGGGACACACTGTGTTTTGCAATCATTTACTTAATGGATATGATTTGTGATACTGTTAAACTCCACTTGTCAGGGTGGTGATTACAAATCAATCCATTTCAACAAAATTCACATTTTAATACCAAATAAAGCTTGGTTGTTATGTGCGCATGGAACTAAACATAGATCACACTGGTTTTACTTCTTCCTTTGACGCAAGGCAAGAATTAGTCAAACAGCTTTTTTGACCTACACCTGCCTTGCCAAGGGTGCAAGTGATGCCATCAATACAGCATTTTTCTTACTCTGCATTAGCAGCTGGAGCCATCTGCCAAAATGCTAAAAGAAGTGAGATCTGGCCTTGAACAGGGGTAGCAGCTTGGCTGGAGGATTCAGCACCTCAGTGCTCCGAGGGTGCCTGCGGTGCTCAGAGCCTTTCTGCACTGGAGCAGGCTGGCTATGAGGAACTTTTCTTTTCAGAACTCCTATGACTGAAGAGACCAGGAGATAGAACCCCTAAACCTGGGATAGGAAATTTCGCACAGTAATACTTGAAAACTGCATTTGGATACTGCACAGTTTTAATGGTGCTTTTTTTTAATAATGCTTTGAAATCATGGCATTATCATTATTAGTAATCCCTAGCAGACTTCTAGGGATGGTTAGGACTAACAGACATGTATCAAGCTCCGAATCTGTGATCTCCTGTAACTCTTAATTACTGAGTAGAAGCCTGATAGAGTGTTAAACATAAAAATGCACAGTAGTGCTTAATGTGGGGACACTCTGCATTATGGAAATCAATACGGCGACTCACTAAGGACTAAATCTGTAATATGTGCCCATATAGAAAACTCACCTAGAGCTGAGCCACACACACAGCCTGTTGCAAAGTGCACTGACTTCCACTTACTCCAGTGGGTCAGGCCCATTAAACACCAACGAAGAAGATTTCTCCATTTTCCCAGCTTCCAGTGAAGAGTCTCTCCCTGTTGCTTTTTTTTCCATTCTCCACCCTCCAGCTGAGTCAGTGACCTTGGTAGAGTGTAGAGCTTTGTAGAGCTTCTACACTATGTAATGAAGATTGCAATTCTCTGCTAAGTTTTAGAATCTAATTTCCCTCAGTAATGTAACCTGCCCTGAAGGATACTGACTTTCTAATTAGATGATTTGGAAAAAAAAAAAAATTTAAACCATACACGCTGTTTTTCAAGACAGCACCTAAACCCGAAACTCTCAGAGAAATTAAATGTACAGTAGGCTCAGGCTCTTGTTTTTTTGTTTATAGATTGCTAACCATGGGGTTGTGCCCAGCTAGACAAAGCTTTAAATCAAGTTCTGCAATTGCTCCTTCAGCCTAGTAATTATTTGTGTGGGAACCAGATTAAAAGCATGTATCTTTCGCCAATGAAAAGTTAGAAAAAATGGCACTTCTCCTACCATGGCCAGAGCCAGGAGGTCTACCTGCGTGCTGATACACTGCTCATCAGCACGTGTTCATCTCCTTTTCCAGCTTTATGGACAGGCCGTAACCCTCTTCATCTGGAGGCTCTCAGGGGCGTGTGTGTGAGGGGAAGCTGTATTTATTTTTCCTAGACCGTGCTGCTTTGTCTGTTGCTCATGGAGAGGGACAAAACAATGAGAAAAATAAACCTGAAGAGCTGGTGAGCCACCTTTTAAGATCCTTTTAGGATCCCTGTATTTAGGTTACTGTATGCAGCTCTTCTCTACCCTCAGCTCAGAGGGCTTGCTCTGTCTTTCAAAGTAAAATACTTCTGCCTTTTATTTGCCTGGTATTGATTTCTCAGAGTTGCATAAACCTCCAGAATAATTTATGTGGTTTACTCTGCAGCACTTCCTAACTAATGATTAAAGGTCAGAGCCAGAGGTTCACAGGAAAAAATCTTAAAACCTTAATGTCACTTATACATACCCTTCTCAACAACGCAAAGAATGGGGTTTTTTTAGATCGTCTCCCCTATCATGAGCCCACAGTATATTTATATTGTGCAGTGTTTTCCAAGGAAAACATGCAGAGCATTTTCACCAAGAAAACTCTAGAAGCCACTTGAAAAGCTACTCAGTGTAGCTGCCTCAGAAAGGAGGCCCAAAAAACGGCTGCTGCGAAGCTGCAGTAAAGTTCTTAGACTTCAGAAAAGTGACTTCTGAGAGAGAGACTTGTCAGCTGAGCTTACGTTGTACTGAGAAACAGGTCCCACCTGTAGCTTTAGAGATCTCCTAACTCTAAAAGCCTGCCTTTATTGCTTCTGCTATACTCTTAGTCCTTGCCAACCCGGGGAAGAAAACACGAACCAGAAAATGAATCAACAAGGCTCTTGCACAGGTTTTCAATTAGCTTCTGGTTCCCTTTAAAGTCCTGGTGCAGGCAGTAAATGCCCAAGTCCAGCAGAAACAGGAGTGCCTTCCCACCTGTGCACAGCAGTGTACCACCCGGCCGCAAGGGTGAAGTTGATGGCCACGTCTACCGGAATCATATCTGCCACCGCTTCATTGTTGGCGATGGCGGTCCGCAGAATCCCCTTGCCTGCCTGTGGGACAAAGGAAAACAGTCACTGACGTAAGGCCGTGGTAAGATTTCATCGGCTTGGACTGAGGACAGATTGTCACATTAGCACTTTTCAAGCCTGGCACCTGCTGCAGGAGATTATTTAGTTTCTGTGAAAACAAAGACGGATCTCACGTGGATCCCACTTTTCTGCGTTTTCAGAGGACGTCTAAAACATGATGACATCTCTGCTGTGTATAACAAGAAAAGCTGTGACTCTTAGTTAACTCAATATGAAATAAATACCTTAAAAAAAACATGTTTGAATTTACTGCAGTAAAATTCCCTGTGATACCTGAAGTTCCATTTTCTTAAGTGACCCAGGCAGACAGAGGTCTGAGTGTCCCTCAAAGACAACAGTCACTTTGGAAATGACATCGATAGGCTTTTTGAAAAGTTTACTCCCTTTCCTTTGGATGTGTTCACACCCTCCTGTTCTCCAGAGCTGTGTCTGTTAAGCACAAAGGTACAGTCAAGACGTGGCCCCTGCCTTGAAGAGCTTGTCACCCAACGAAACTCAGGAAATGAATGAGTGGAAATACAGAGTACTGACAACCAAAGAGAAGAGGTAGGCAAGAACAGAAGATTTTCATTTTGCTTTGGTTGGAAGTAAATTTGTCAGGGGTCAGGCTCCCCAAAATATATATATTTAACCTGAATGCTTATCAAGGGGTTTCCCTGATGACCAATTAGTCTTTGGAGGTTCCACAGGAGAGACGTGGCTGGAAGAGGCTTACATGAACAGATGGCAACAACATGGCAGACTTAATCAGACAGGACAATTCAGAAATATAGAAATGTGGAGGTGAAATGGGGTGAAGGAACTTAACCTAGTGGATCAGGTATGAGAGCTGAACAGAGCAATTAAAAATGAAACCCCAACAGCAGAGTCAAGGTTGCAGTCAAGTTATCTAGTCTGTGGGAAATGAAATGCGATGAATTTGAGTTTGAAGTAGAAGCTGAGGACCCAGTGAAAGAGCTGGGAGGATAAAAGCACTAGTGAAGCAAGGAAGGAAAAACACACTTGAAATTTAGATCCATGTAAAACCAGAGGGTAAGACTGAGTAAAGGGGCAAAGGAATATGCTCTACAGATCCAAGAATATTTAAAAGTCAGGGCAAAGGAAGTTTTATAGCAAAATTTTCTTTTCTTCCAACCTGAGACTCCCATTTCATCATGAAATAGCTCTCCAGCTGTGAAAGATGAAGTTTTACTACAGCAACTAGACAGGAAGTGCCTAGTTGTGCAAAAACCCTTGCCTGAAGTCTGGGGAGAAGAAAGATGTGATGAAAAAAGCATTTAAGACTTGATATTAACTCGTAAAGCATATGCCATTGTCTACTGGTAATTGGTGGACTTTCAGGGACACTGCATCCCCTGTTTGGGAGGTGTTTATCTGGGTTTTGTACTCTTTCTCTCTCCCTCCTTTCCCCTTCTATAGTCAGATGGTTTTGTTAAATTTCACAGCTTGCAAGTAAGTGAATACCACTTATGACTGATTTAATTTTCATGAGCAGTCGCATCTCATCCTTGGTGCAGCTGGCAGAGGGATCATAGACAGACAGACTCAGAGGCAACCATGTCAGCTTCCCCACATGCTCCAAATATCCTCCTCAAACCCATAGCATGCAGTTAACCTCTGCTGCCTTAAGCCGAACCACAGCTATGCTTAGACATTAAAACCTTAACTTGCAACATCTCTATGATTTTTTTTTTTTTGTTCCTACTACTGATTTTTCAAGGGGAAAAAAGCAAAAAGAACCAGGAGGCAATCAAGCCCAACTATTAATTTTCCACTTCTGTGAACACATGCCCAGTAGAGACCACTGTGTGATCAACTATCACATTTTCATAGGTGCAGTGAAGACCTTTTTGAGGTCAGGCTTCAAAACTAGGAAGTTTGATGGATGTGCTGCAAACATGCCTGTATTCAGAGCAGCTTGAGATGGTCATATGCACATGAATGAATCAGATATTTAATATATTGTGTATTTAATAAAGACTTCACATTTAAGTGTTTCAAGTTACTTTTTACATTGGAAATGGTTTGGTACTTCTTTATCAGGTATGGCTTGATTTCTATTTGTAGTTGCTGACATTTTTTTCTCTTTAGTGAAATAGAAGCTACTTTAGCTGAAGCCTCTGAAACCATTTGGTGGTCTGAGTCACGTTTCTGGACAGCCTCCCAGCTGATGCACTTTGGGGACAGTCTCTGTCCAGAACATGAATTAAACCATGGTTCTGCCCTACAGCTTCACTGCCTTGCAGGGAAGGAAGGTCTTTACATGTAATATGGAACAACAAGACAAAATGCCTTAATTACAGTCCAGCAGAAATGTAATTAATTTCATTTTGTTTTTCAATCAACAAAGCTTCTCCCCACAGCAGCTGGAGCAACTGTAGGTGAAAGAAACATAATTAGACTATCAAGAACAACTTGAACTCCCATATTTCATGAATATTTAAAAGAAATATATCTATTTGTGGAATGAAATGATCAGACTCAAATGTTATAGTGGTGACTGAAGGGGGGAAAAAAAAAATCTTTGCAAGGTTTGGAGTTCGGATTCTGCACAGATGATCCCAAAGATCGTCTGAGCCAAATCTGAATCTGGGGGTTGTTCTCCATGCAGGATAAGCTTGGGTTAGAGGTTGAAAGTGACTATTTTAGTATGGGGGGGACTTTAAAAAAAAACAAACCAAACACAAACACCAAAACACTTCCCTTTTGTTTTTTCCATCCTTAATTAAGGCTAATAAAGCTACTTGACTAAAAAAATACACTTTGAAATACAGTTGGCCAAGACAGCTGGTTGTAATCACACAACTTCCAAGTAATCAAACTAACGTGTAACTCACATGTTCAAGGGTTAATTTTCAAACTACCAAACAGGATTTACCAATTCACCATATCCAAGCACATTAATTCAAAACATGTATTTATCCCCCCCCCCGAAGACCAAAAGTCTCTTGGGCTCCCTTTCACTTCCAGAAAACTAGTACCAGTCCAACTAAGTTCAGTAGCAACTGGAGATGGTACAAGACAAATACTGTCTGTTAGCACTGGCAATCCCCCCTCACTTCACATCACAGAGTCTCTGCTTCTGACTGATGCCAGCCAACACTGCTGCCTGTGGGGCCAAAGAGCCATTGGACACGGACAACCACCTTGTTTCTACACCCTGCACCTATTGTCATTGCTCGTTGTCTTTTTCTTGGTTAAGTCTCGATATAGTTACATATCACATGGTCATATTTCATCACTGAAGAGCTCAGTGCAGATGACATGTATTTCGTTGTCTCTATTTCCTATACTGAAGAACCTCAGAGCTTCAATCCTGAACCAAAAAATACGTTCTCTATTTCAAAACTATTTCAGTACAAGTCAAAGCTTTTTTATATAAAAAGGGAAGGGAAGTTATTTACTACAGCGATCCCAGAATCTCAAAATCTTTACTTTCCATAGAGTTAATCTGAAGATAAAGATACAGGCTGGCATCTGTGTGTGAAACCCGGCCTAAGTGACACCACCATTAGGCTTGCTGTTGCATTCAATAAGGCTAGAAATTTATGCTCAGAAGAAAGAAAATATTAGTTACTGGTCTAAGCATCAAAGGATAAGCATATAAAATATATGCAAGCTGCAGTGTAAGTTCCTAAAGCGGACACTATTAAAAAAGACTGATATATGGGCAAAATTTCCAAATACTTAACCATTGGGTGTTTTTTACTTGTTGACAGATTAAAAGACAAGAAAAAAGGAGGGGAAAAAATACTTTTTAAATGACAAAAGATTTGATGGGCATGTTTTTATATGCCTGAAAGCATATGAATTTGGCCTGTGTTTCACAACATACTGGCATATGATACATGTATGACAGCAACTTGATGTAATTTGTTACTTAGGTAATTCACTGGTGGGGAATAAAGAGCAATGCAATGGAAATCTTTTGCATAACGTCTTTCTTGCAAACTCTGCACAATTTTGTGACAGATATTTTAATGTTCAAAAGTAAAGATAAAATCAAAACTCACGGATATCATTACAAAAGTTAGAACCTGTCACATGAAAATGCAGGCCATGGATCTGCAAAATTATCGTGATAATGACAAGACATCATGCAAGAACACAGAAAATGGCACAAGATGCTGTGAGTAGAGCAGAGAGAGGCAGTACAAGCCTTATGAGCAGTCAGCAATGAGTAAAAGACTGATAGATAATTATTTTAAAGAAACTGTGAGATGAATAGGAGCTAATAACACTTTGTGAACACAAATGATGTGTTTGGGGGCTTTTGAATGTCTCTGAAACGTGTTACTGGGGTTTCAGATAAAAGTATTAGCTGGGATATACCCACTAATTTCACTAGTCCTGTGGATTCCAGAAGTAACTGTAACAGTTTCTATTTGTGCTCTACTTCAGGTACAAATGAGCTTTTTTAACAAGATGATATTTGGATTTTATTCTGCTCTCCTATGATTGTAGACTACTAATCCTTTTATACACTGAATCAGGCTGATTACAACATAGTTTTTACAAAGTAATCAAGTTGGACAAATCATACATGAACAAAAATATCTGCCCATAGCTACACAGCGTTATGCATTGACAAACAGACCTAAGGCAGCGATTTTAGCTCAGGAAAAAAATATAAGCCAGGAGAAACGGTATGCAACTTTACTGTTTTCATATGTTAAATTGTAATGATTGTTTTCATATTACAGGGAATATTTTATCAAGCTATTCATTATTTATCTTCGGGGTTTGTTCCTTGCCATTTTGCACAGTAGTTATTTACACCAGTGTTAAGCAAGAATATCCGTGTGACTGGCAGAGACTGAATTGATAGTTACACACATTATTTAGATGTACTCTGCACATGGAGAATTCCTGTACAAAGCAATGGCAAATGAGACCCAGAGTCTTTGTTACTGAAGAGTGGTCACAAACTATAGCAATACAGATAAATTAAAGTATAAGTAATGCTGCCTTGTAGCAGTAATCCCACCTGTGAAATTAAGTTCTGTTATACGATTCAAGCTTTGACATCTGTGAATTGCCCCTAGTTTCAAGGATGCATCTTTTGCCCTTTCCTTGAAAATGTGGCCAAATTTGACCAAAACTAAAAACTGCAATTCACATTTAGTGAACCAGCAACATGAATACTCTTTCAATGTCCTTTTCTGAGCACAGCATAAATAGACAGTCTTCTGGGTCCTACAGGCATACAGTTGTATGGCAAGTGTGTGACATCTTTCTACCAGATTCAGAAAATTGCTATGATCCTTTTTTGCATACAATTTCTAAGTGGGGCTTTAGAGTAACTTTAGAATTGCTATTTTAGTAACTCTAACTCTACTTTAAGAGGAGTTTAAATAGTAACTAGACATACCGCAATAAGTATTCCACTTGTTCCATTGAAGTTGTCAATCCAACCCTGCAAAAAAGAAGAAGGATTACTATTTCTTTCAGTGACATGTTGCTTACACAGGCTTTGAAATGATGAAAGGGCTACAATGCTGTGGTGTAGGCAAAGAAGCAATGAGACAACAGTTAAGATGTGTGCCAGCCTATCTAGGACAGCTGCCAGGAAGCTAACCAGTACGAAGTACCTAATAGATTTTAAATAGGGGATGCATTGTATGATACCTCATGCTGTCTGCAATTTATCTATCAAGAACAGAAACAAATTCTGTTTTTAGAAACTGCTTCTTTCCTATAATAACTTGGCTACAGGAATAAACTCTGGGTTTAAATGCTACAGTGTCTTGGTGCTGCTACTCTTGCTGAAAACAGTCCGTGTGTTATATACCCTCTGACATAGAACGTGCAGATGTCACTGAGGCTGATTTGATTACTCCAACTAATTTCTAAGGCAAGGAAGAAAAAAATACCACTCCATTTTTGAATCCCATCCTACTCATGTCAGGGAAACTGCCACTTGTGGGAGCTGGAGTTAAGAGCAGCGATGAGCTGTCTGACCCAAAATGGGTTATGACACCTAACATGAGTTCACCCTGTCTTTCCAAGATGGGGAGCTTGGCCCAGAGGCTTGGCTGTATCTCAGCCATCTTTGGCATGCTTCGAGCTGTGTGGAAGCCAAGGTGACTTTATGTTGCCTTTCAAATTTGGCTGCAATGTTAGGGTGCGTTATTCCTACTAGTATATTTAGCTTAGTGAATTATTTCAGTCCAAAAGTACAGCTGCATTTAATTACTGCGCAGCTGACATTTGTATCTGCAACAGGCCCATACAAGTGTGAATCCAGTGAATTCAACAACTACCAACGTAAGACAAAGATACTAGGTAACTGCACATGACATTAGCAAATGCTTTCAAGGACCACATGAGGTCTAGGGTGCTCATCAGGACGTCATTAATAGGCTGACTAGACCATGGGAAGACTTGAACCAGAATGCATCAGGACTGTGGCTGACCCTCAGATCTTGTGTTTCCCCATCTGATATAGAAACTGCCCTGTGTGTCTGTCTGGGCACGATCCTCTGCATGCAAGACTGTCAGTTGCAAGTCCAGCATTTTGTACTATTATTATCCCAGCTCTTATTATTGCTTAAATGTGTTCTTTTCACATGCAGCAATAGTCTTTCCTGAAGATGCTGAAGAAGGCTTGCTGTTCTACTCCAGCACAGGTCCTCCACCTCTTCCGTGCACTTTCCTATGAACTGTGCCACCTGTTTCTCAAGCAGACACCGCTACAAGTAGGAACAGATTCCTGACGGTACTGCAGCTACAGCTGCATCAAAGGGCTCTCAGTAGGGAATTGCTATGTATTCATGCTTACTGGGAAAGGCTCATGCCAGCTAGCTCCCACGATGGATGGCCTGATGATAGCAATGTTCAAGTTTCCTTTCTCTTGCTGAATCAGGTATTCTGACAAGGCTTTGGTGTAGGTGTAAGTGTTGGGCCAGTCCCCAAGCAGCTTGGGTGTGATGTCTTGAATGATAGATTCATCCAGCCACCTACAGGAAACAAGGAGAACGTCATTATCCGCCATGCAGAGAGAGAAAAGACTGAGGAAAAAAAGACCAGTGAGACAGGAATTCTCACCTGAAACAAAGGATAACCAAGTCAAAGCCATTTAAGACAAAGCAAGGAGCAACTGGTTTGGATTTAGAACAGTTCTCTGGGAGAAAGGTTACTTTTGTCTTCGAAGTGCAAAATAACCCTGGTGAGCTTCATGCTATGATGTCCAGCTCAACTTCAGGTATCTGTACAATCTCATTCTAAAGCAATCTCTTGTGCGCTTTATGCTTCACTGCAATCTGTAAGGTAGATATAGCCATGGTCTACAGATTGATGGAGCTTTCCAACCTAGCACTCATCCTTGGTAACCTTGAGTTACTGAGTTGAGTAGCATTACAAAGGTCTCAAAAGCTAGAACAATGTACTACAAAAATATTATTCCAGAAGCACAATTTACAGTGTTAGATGCTCTTTCCTACTGGTTTTCCACTGGCTTGTTCACATAGGATATTAAGAAACTGTCAGTGTTAGCTGCTTTAAAACAAAAACCCAACAAGGTTTTTTTTGTTTGTTTGTTTTAAGGTATTTAAGTATCTAATCTATCAGAAGTAGTCATATGTATACCCTTAGAAAAGTGGCCCTTACCACCATGGTGCTGCAGCAAGGGTCCAAGGCTCAAAGGCTCTTCCCTGGCACACCAACAAGACATCACTGGTCCTGCCAGCATTTGGGTCTAAAGGACAGGAACTGGCTGTACTTCCAGAGCCCTTGCATACCGCTGCCAATCCCCGACAGGCTTTCAGCAGTCTGGTGTTACACCACAGAATCAAAGATTAACTCCTATAATCCAATTTGTAATTAAGTCAATGGACTTATAGTTCAGACTGAATGGGTGTGCTCTTCCCAGGGGCATTGCAAGGATACTGTTTCCTGCAGATCCTCACTTCACCCCTCCTTATCTTGAATTTCAGAAACAGGTAGAGGTCAAGGGGAGAGGAGTAAGGTGGAGACTGTCACACCTGAAGAATTACTTGACCATATTAACTTAAACATGCAACCACCTGATGGCTCAGGTGGCACACTTTTTCAGATGGCTCTCATCAGATACAGATGGAAATATTACAGGAAAACTGTTGTATGATTCACTGAAACTGCAAAACAGTTTGCAGGGGAGGGTTGAATTCAGTGAATCTCAGTTTTGGAATGAGTTAAAAAGAATCTGACAGTTTTTAGTATATAGAAATTATTTTTTTAAAATAAAAAAGCCTTATGGAGGCACAAAGACATTCCTTTGCAACCTTAGTCCCACGCTTCAGAAACAAGGCAGAAAATATGAAGTTGAACTACGCAGAGGATATAAGCAGCACACAATATTGACTTAATTTACAAAGCTTGTTTAGGGCAGCCATTGAACCCAGCCTCCTCAGGGTCTCAGATAAATTGCCACTGTTTGAATCTGTTGAGTAATTAATTACCAGCCTACCAAAAGGAGATGTCTATTTCTGCAGAGCCTGGAGGAAGACTAGGTTCATTTAGGAACTCAGACTAAGCTGCATACAAGTCTCTTTTCCCTCCTCCTCTCTTTTTTTCTTTTTTTATAATAGGGGCTTACAGGTTAGTGCTTCTCACAAAGCAAAGACAGGTGTAGAAGTACAAGGAGAAGCAATTTCCCCTTGCCCTCATCCTTCCAGGCAGGCCTCTCCGCATCTGTAAGTGGTCATCAAGAGGACCACACTCCTGCCTGTCTCAAGGCTACCATCCTGCCAGGTGATTTGATCTACCAGCATTACCATCACCGGAGCGCTGAGCTGACAGTTCAGCAAGGCGAACTGTTTCTACTCCTCTGCAACTTTGAAATGCTAAATCACAAAGCTACTGCTTTTGCTCACTGCTGCCATTGCCCCGTAGAAACAAGAGATGCAAATTAAACAATTCGTAACCTCCTCTTTCACCACATATATGCACCAAATTACTCTGCCATAGGAAAACATAACATTCTGTGTTAATCACTTTGCATTAATAAGACACTCTTTTTCTTCTAAGTGATGACAGATCTACATTTTCTGCAGTAATGAAAACAGTTCTGCTTCAGCCCACACTTCACTGCGTGCCGCATTCCTTACCTCAGCATACCCTTCAAAGCTGATTTCCCTCAGCTTTAGATTAAGGCAAACCTTGCTTGATGTGGCAGATTATATGTTTCCTCTGTTGGCCTGGCAGCACTTAGAAGTGTGACTTTTGGTTTACACACATTAGGCCTAAGGCTTTACTTGCAGGTTAAATATCAAAGTACTGGAAAGTAGGGATATAATAAGAGGATAAGAACAGAACAAGAAACAGCTGGGAGTCCTACTTGGGATTTCAACTAAATAAAGAATCATAGGCATATATCAATTGCATGGCCAAAAGCATCATTACGTTATTGCATCCAGTTGCGTGATCATGCCTTTTAATGCACTTGCTGAAGAGCACTTTAAGACAAGGGTTGTTTATACTTCCTTGTCTCCTTTTTTTCCTCCCACACCTTTTTGAAGGTAACATTCTGGTATCTGTTAATCTGCTGATTAATAGATAATCTCTGAAACCTTCTGTACCCAGTTATCCACATATTATTTCTTCCACTTACATGGTGAATAATAAAAGGTGCATCTCTCCCACCTCCTTCCAACCCTGCTTTGTCTTCTCTCCCCCCCCAGGTAATCCCCTTCACAGTCTCTCAGAGTTTTCTCTATCCCATTCTGCCTGTAGCATGTCATCCCAACATCACAGGAACCTTCCCCATCCTGCTCCTCCACACACTCTGCAGCCCCATGCATCTCCTTCACATATTGCCTTTGATTTGCAGAATGCCTTCCAAACCAATGACCCTGAAGACAGTGATTTTCAACAAGGCCCACCTGATTTCAATGCCTTTGAAGGGAGTGGTTGTCTTTGCTGTGAGCAATTAGAACACTACCTGCAAACACTGTAAAGAAACAGATGCCGTCCTAGCTGAGGGCACGCTGTGACTTCTGTCTCACTAAAAGTACCAGAAGGTTGTGAACTTCTGGAGTACGGGACACAGGAAAAACTGTAAAACAAATTCAAAAATGTAGCAAAAAGGAAAAGACATGTTTAATTATGTGACTAAGAAAAACCAAGCAAACATAAAACCAAGACAAACATATCAAAGAACACATCTGAAAGCCCATCCTCTGTCACCCAACCTTTCTTTCAAACATCATCCTCACTGCTGCAAACTATGATAAATAAATTCTTAGTGTCGTATATGAAGCAGCTGAAGTAGCGACCTCTGGGTAGGCAGGCACTTCTGCACGTTTCTGATTAGCATCCAGTCCTTTGCTGGAGTCTTTTTTATCTGAGCCATCAACACCAATTGTTTCCAAAGTTGCAAGTGATGGTAAGCTTTTTGGGCCAGTGAAATGTAATATGGATAGCGATGAACTCCAAAGGACATTGTAAAACTGAGTCAGTGGGCAAAAAGGTGGCAGATTAGCTTCATGTAAATAAAGGTAAGGTAATGCATTTAGGGAAAAGCAGTCTAAACTGGTCTTAGAGGTTGCTGAACTCAGAACTGGCGGTTGCAGCTCAGCAAGAGCTCTTGGAAGCACAGCTGACAGCTCTGTGAAATCTCCAAGTCAATGAGTAGCAGCAGACAAAAAAGTAAATGAAACGTTGGACATGATCAGGTACTGAGAACAAGACCAATGGTGTTGTTTTGAAGCTATTTAAATAAAACTTTGAGTGACCACACCTTGAGTACTGCATGCAGTTCTGTTTGGCCCCTGCACCTCAGGGAGGGAGTGGAGTTAAAAGGCAGAGAGGAAGGGCAACTAAAATCATCAAGGAGGCAGATCAGTTGGCATATGAGGAGACAGTAGACACGCTAGGACTCTTCAGGCTGCAGAAGAGAAGGTCCAGGGTGAATGCAATACAGATTTACAGAACTGCAGAGGTAGTGAATAGGGCAAATACTGCAGATACTGCAATGCTGCAGCTACGGGACATGCAATGAGACTATTAGCGTGACAGCTTGAAACAGGTAAAAGAAAGCTTGTCTTTATGCAGCAGTTAGTAAACTTCTGGAACTTGCTGCCACAGAGGGTTGCAGAGGCAGAGTACCAGAAGGTTTAAAAAGGGATTAAACAAATTAATGGATTCAAAAATGGGTCAAAAAATAATAGGATGTAACACCCCTCATACTACAGTCCTGGTTTCTAGGAGGTTACAAGGGGAACGGATTGCAAAAAGTATCCAGGTTTGTGTAGTTGCTGTAAACAGCATCTCCCTGTGCCACTGTTGAGGGCAAGGTATTGGGCCAGGCCGCCCATTGCTCTAATGCACTAGGGCATTTCTTATGTTTTTATCACACTCCACCTGCTGAATAAATGCTAAATGATAGATGACTACTAGCTGGAAGTAAACATATCCAAGAATATCGGCTACTGGAAAAATTAAAAAAAAGAGAACACTGATTTGTACTAAATTTTCTGGAGTAGTGCTTAGTCAAATTATTTTTTTTGGCAACGATTTTTTGATATAAAACCTCAGTGGTTCTCCTGCTGGACATTAATTTATCTCACCTATTACCCTAAATCAAGGAGAAGAAAGACTTTATACCAGCTCTTTGGGTTACTAGTTCACAGGTCAGTTGCTTATATCACACAAGTGGAAATCATTGGAAAATAAATGAAAACAAAGTTACAGCTGTGGGAAAATTTTTCTAAGGGGAAGGTGTCCTGGGGCCTTTATCAGCAGATTTTGTTATTCTTTCTAATTATTCTTCATTTCGGTAAATTCAGTTAAACAAGCCTTTTTGTTGTTCCCTCAAACTCGTGGATTCTCACACTAATCTCTTTCTAAAACAGCCTGTTTCTGACTTATCCCCATGTAACTCTGGTTTAATACCACAGGATCGTTGAAATAAGTGGAAACAACGTTGGGAAGCTGAAGAGATAAAGAAATGAATATAAGGTATTTGAAAAATTTCAGTTCTTACTAAGGTAGCACCAGAGCTGAGTCTTACAGAAAGAAGCATCACAACTCCATTCCTGATAGCAAATGCACTCGTGCATAACTTATTCAATGCTGGACTCTCATGAAATCACACAGTCTTTTTTAAAATGGTGCGTGGAAAAATTTAAAGGTAGCTGAAATCACAGGTTATTAAGTGTGGTTTATGCTATTTTCTAATACTTTTGTATTTGGAAAAGTATTGTTAGGCTCAACCAAATGTTTTTAAAGCATGACTTCAGCAGCTCTCCAGATAAAAAGGCTCCAAAACAGAGTCTCTATTTCTTCTATTTTGAAAAAACCTCAGTAAAACTAGTTTCAAGAGAAAATCCAGAAAGGACAGACTTACTGGATGGCATTCTGTGGAAAGTACCCCTCAAACCCACCTAGAATGAAAGCTCTCTCTTCCCTTGGTCTCACTCTTATTATGGCCAGCATTTCTTGCTGGCATGGTACGTACAGACAACTCCATACAGCAATAACAGCAACTACGAACAGAAATCCCACAGGACAGGTTATATGAACAATTCGAGGTCTTCTGCAGAATGAAGCAAAACCAACATCGGAAGAGGTGATGCAGTTCCTACTTACTCAACTAAATCGAAGAGCTTCTTGGGTTCAGCTGGGGGTGGGTAGATGACTTCGTCTATGGACTTCCGGACACAGTTTGCATAGGCAGTGGAGATGTGGATGAAGGCCTCGAGGTTCTGCATCTGCCGGGCCAGCTCTAGGAGCCGCTGCGTGCCCATTGCATTCAGTTGCAGGGCATGTCTAAAGAGGGCAGGGGAAAGAAACAAAATGCATTTCACTGGAAAGAATACATCAAAGCTGAGCATTATCCAAACCCCAAATAATGAAAAGGCAAGTAAGGGAAGAGAAGGGGTCACAGCAGAGCGGAAAGCTTCAATGAAATGCAACGGCTAAACCAGCTTTCAGAGCAATGCTGTTGGATTCGCTGTTCTGGCCACAGAATGTCTGTCAAATATTTTTACTCAATTCAAAGGATCAGAGGTAACATTTCACTAACATCTCTACATCTGACATATTTGCCACCCCTTCCTGGAACAAATATTTGGAACATGTGGAACAACACACATGAGCACTGAGGCATTATGGTTCCTACGGTACCCATTCAACTTTCTCCTTAAGGGACCACTGCTAAACCAGGTAAACACATGGTTTCAGTAAGCAGCAAAGGGTCCTTGGGCTGAGAAAAACAGATTTATACTGAAAGAAGACACAATTAGAGATAACAACTTAAATTCCTAAGGAATGGAGAAGACAACTGATAAGCATAAGAGAAAAAAGAGTCCTGGTTAGCAAGGTTGACCTTGAAGCACTAGAGACTATCTGCAATGGATCTCAGTGAACAGACGTTCAAATTTGTTGCACACTTTGTACTGGAAGAAAGACACTTTCCTGCACAGAAGGGAAAAGGCTAAGGAATATGCAATCTGCTCAGCCCAGGAGTAGAAGCTTTCACCAACACATACTAGATTATGAATAAGGCTATCAAGTACAGTGTACACTAAAGAAATTAATTACACTAATGTTGAAGAGAAATTGTAAATAGTCCAAATGAATGAAAACAGAAGCTAAGAGTATGACTAATGTTTGGATCATATCTAAAGCCAGAGATACTTATTTATTTTAGCATGCTGCTATTAAAGAATAGCATTTTCTATAGATTTCTATTTCCTCCTGCCCTTCTAGTAGGATGAATACTTCTACTTTAGCTACTCTTCATATGAAAGTTACTCTTCCGTGTACATTTCTATTTGATTGTATCCCTTCTGAGAGGGGGTGATGAGAATTGCACTCAGAATACTGGCCCAGCATGGATTTCTGAGGCGTTCAGCGTTCCTTTAGCCTTCTAGGGGAATATCATCTAACCCTGGTGGATTTATTACTCTTTATTTTTTCTATTTTTATTAAAACTGCATCTACTAATATTTTAATATAACACAGTTTCTCAGATTTCTGCCCTCAAGAGTTCCATCTGGAGAATTCCCTAAATGTACTGCATGTTGATGCCAATAATTCATTTAGTTTCTCTGTTGCTGCTTTTCTAGTATCTTGATAGCACTGCTTTTGCACCTCCCTTACCTATCGGCTCTACATATTTGCAGTAGGCTTTGGACTTCTGCCGTGTTTAAAAATTACTTTTTTTGTGTGTGTGTGTGTCGTTAGCAAGTTGCTGCTCAAAATTCTTATTTGAGCAGCAATATTGTGCTTTCACATTTAACTTGCTAGAACTTTTACCCATATGATATATTTTATTATTCAGACAGGAATAATTTAACAACTTCTCGTATTTTGCCGTTTAATGATACTGGATTTTCCTTGTTCTGTTAGAGAGATTTTGACAGATCACATGTAGTCAGCCTTTAAATAGTTTCTACACTGCCTGCAAGCAGATGACCATTTTAACTTTTTCTTTTAACTTCTTTCTAGCTATCCTCCTTATTAAAAACGTAGTTTCCCTTTGATGTTACATGCCACTGCGATGTATTTTTATAGCATGTTCATTCGTGTATTGATTTAAGAACATTTATGGCTATTAATGCAGTGCAGTTCTTTGCTACTTACATCTTGAGCCAGGTTCTACACATGGCTCAAGATTAAATCAAGAGCTGCTTCCTTTCTGGTGGGTTCTCTAATCACTTGTTGCAAAAAGCAATTATTTACAATGGACACAGTAGATATCTATTTAGCCTACGTACGAGCAAATGAAGACTGACATTAAATAATTGCGTTTTCTACTCTCACAGCTTTAGCGTTTTTCAAAAAACTGTGAAGATCTGGCAATCCAGATCATCCACCTTGGTTTGTTGACCTTTATGATTTGCATAGAAGCACTTAAACATCCAATCTTGGTTTAGTGGCTTATTTCTGCTACTCTTTCTTAATGGAAAGCCTGCCTCGACAGGCACTCCCAAGGGAGCTCCTTCAGAAATCAAGCATTTATTTTAAACAGTTAATTACACCAAGTCTGGGGTATTTTAAAGACTGTGATAGGCTATTTTCTTGAACATCATCTCATTTCCCTCTTCAGTTACTCAGTGACAAAGAAAGGCCATTAACACTAGCTTTAGAGACAGACACAACATAGTTTCACTTCAAGCTGTCTCCAGCTAGTTCTGCCAAAACATCTCCCTCTTGACCTAAACCACACTTTTCCCTATCCCAATTTTAGGTCATACTTTACTCCCTTACTGTATCACAACCCAAGCTTGCAGTACTTCCTTCTGTTCCCATGGAAATCTGCCAAGATACATCACTTTTGACACGCATATGCACATGACATTTTCAGAGCATTTACATTGCACATTCAGTGCAGAACCACATGTAGCATCGAAACATAAATGGAGAATTATTACCGCAGCTATACAAGAGATGCACTGAATGGTGTGTTATGGGCTGTTGTGCATTCTGAATCATGCTCAGCAAATACAGAAAGCAGGACATACTTCAGGGGTTCATCAAAGCGAACCGTTGCTGCACAGTGGAAGACAATATTGACCCGGGTCAGAAGCTCCTCCTCATCTTCAGCACTGATGGCCAGCTTGGGCTGAGTGAGTTCAGCATTAATAGGCTTAATCTTCTCGTGGAAATTAGGGCAATCTTCTCGGACCCTGTCAAAGACCTTGAAGCACAAACAGAGAGAGATCAGGTACAGAATTAGGCTACTGAGATCGCTTTGATGAGTAGCCAGTCTGATTACATCAATCAGTGAAATTGGCACAAAAAAGAATGCCTGGTTCTTTCAGAGGGAGGACACAGGTGAGATGATAAAATAGTTAATTCACTTGTTCCCTCCCTTCGGAAAACCTCACAGGGGAAACAGGACAAAAATATACTAAGTAATGCATTGCCCTGAAGAGATGAATGAATCCTCTCTGTACCACTCATTTCCTGGGACAGCCACTGAAATTCCTGTATCTCCACATCTCCTGCAACCACTTGCTATTTGACCTCAAAGGCTGCCTGTAGGACTGTAATAGGAGCTAAAAAGAAGGAGGGCAGCGTAAGGAGTGGGAAAGCCTGTGAAGCATTAGACTCGAGCAATCTTCTTGATGGTTCTACAAAGGACTTGAGGAGAGGAGGGGAGCAGGGCACATTCTGGCTCCTCCTCTTCCTTTGTTGCTCCTTGCCTACTGTCACTCTTTGTTCACGTCAGATGAGTCTTGTGGGGAACTGCCTTTGGGATGGAAAGATGGGGAACCTCAATAACCCATACCGCTAAGGCTGCTGACTGCCACCAGCAATTTTGCACACCTGGACAAATGTGCAGCTAGTTGGCCTCTCAAGCTGTCTTCCAGCCCTTTTTTTCTATGACTATGATCCAAAGCTCTTTCCAATACACATTTTCTGCCCAGTCTTCTGCAGAATGACAAGACTGTGCGTCTGTCCACTAAGAAGATCCCTACATTTCCATATACATTCTGTCTGATGACTTGTCCAAACCCAGCATTTGGCACCCTGCTTTGCTAAGATCCGAGATAGCAGGTACCCTGAACAGCAAGACAACTGTGCACAATCCTTCTGAAAGGAAAAGGAAATCAATACTGTCATCACCTGAAAATGCCTGTGTAAAAACAGCAGTTTCCTCAGTTCCCATTTTTACTCTGTGAGTAGCTCAGTCACTGATAACAGTATAGCAGGTCTGGGTGCAGTTCTGCTTGCACCATGAAAGCAGACAGCTACTACAGGTTCCACCTGGAGACCTTTTATTTGGTAAATCTCACCGGCAAAGAAGATGAAGCCTGAATTTCAAAATGCTACTTGAGTTTGCTGGAGTAAGATTTGAAAAAATAATCTTGAGTTTTAGAAGTGTCTGTTCTAAGGGTTTTGTATTGCTGGCCAGCATTATTGTATTTGAGCAACTTCAACTGAAATAATAGTAAAGTCCAAATAGCTCTTCCCTTTCGGGGCAGAGTGACAAGAAGAAGGGTAGAAAGAATAAACAGAATAGAGAGGCTGTGGGATCTGAAGAGGTATAATCTAGATTTCAAAGGATAACCACACTTCAAAGGTAACTAGCCAACTGACAGGAATGACTAGTACTGGGACAGATTGCTGGGGGAAGCTGTGTGCCACTGCCTTTGGATGCATTTAAGAACCGTCTAGATAAGCATTGCCAGGAGAGGCAGGGAATAGCTGAACCCGCCGTGGGGCAGGAGGATGGGCCAGTTGGCTTCTGAGTAGTTCTGTGGTTTTTGGTTGTTTCCTCTACTCTGTAGCTTACTCATCAGTAACACTGAGTTTGTAAAATTCCTTACTGTCATGGTCTCTTGTTTTCCTAGAGGTTGTTCTGTCTTTGATTTGCCCAGTGCTTATGTAAGAGCAGGAATTGTGTGACATAAATTAAACATACTAAAAGAAAAAGACATATGAAAGATTAATTGGTACTAACAGCAATAGTTTCTTGTTTGACTAAGGGATTACCATCTTTCTGCTTATAGGACAACCAAATCTAGATAAACCTCCATGTTCTTAGGGATAAAGAAGTGATAAGAAAATCAGCCTTCCCCACTATGCAGCACACTGTGTACTTGACTTCATGTATTTTTCTTTAACATGCAGCTGCACATCCTTCATAAATCTGAAACTTGAGCAAGTTAACAAAAGTTAGGACATGAAAATGTCATTTAATTTCTCTCAGTTGCACCCAACTACATCCATATTTCAGCAATGTAGTGTAGGCCAGAGAATAGATTTCTAGACAGAGAAAGCTAATCATGGACAAAGATGTTGGTGAGAGCCAGATGGACTGTAGGAACTCAGTTCCCAACAACTTATGTTCAGAACCGGGTACTAGCAGCATTAATGTCTGTAAAAAGCTTGTCTTCTAACAAGAGGATGCTAGAGTGGCTGTACAAATATGCATCATCTTATGAGAGATCGCACATGAGCAAACCCTGATGAGGCACAAAATGGAAAGATTTCTCAGAGAGCCCATGTAAGACCAAAGATTTTTTAAGAGTTTTAGGAACAATTCTGCATTTGTTTGTTCTATTGCAAAGAGAGCGTAAAACTCCACCCAATGAGAGTTATTTTATACTTGTTTTACTTTGGCATAAATAATGCAAAGGCAGAGAAAGAATGAATCAGCCCTTTCTCCATTTCAGTCATGGTATATTAAAAGAAGAGTAGTATTTCTGCAGTGCCAGTCTTGCTCAAATTTGGACAGTTATATTCTGCCTACATGCCATCTCCTCCTGACGTTCCCACTGCAGATAATATCCCTTTCAATATTTCTATGCCGACTGCTAGGTATTGCCTACTACCACACGCCACTCAACAGCTGTAATTTTTCACCCCCTCCAATGATTCACTGTATTTCTCTGAAGGATGAAGACAATTTCTAAATGCAAGCACACAAATCAGCATACTGCTTTGGAAACCTTCTGCATCACAAGAACATTCAGTTCATTGTCACCATTAAATCAGATAACAGGAGCAGCTGTTTAATCAAAGTCTGCTGCTGCCTCTTTTATGGCATCTGAAGATTTCAGACTTGTCAGTGCTTTACAGGAAAGTGCAAGAAGATTTAAAGACAAAACAAATGCAGCTTATTTTATACTGTTTCCTATAGCTCAAGGAGTGCTTAACATAAAGATGATGCTTAGTCTGCAGGTAAACAATAATTGCATCTCTAAATTCTGATTAACTCACCCAGAGCATATATAATAAATCCCCAATAACTGCACGAGGCCTAAGGACTGTTCTATCTTTTCTTTTTAGAAGCTGTCTGCCAATACAAAATATATTCAAGAGGTAGAAGTGGGCTAGTGTGCTGTACTGTTGGAACCACATGAAAACACTGGCCAGCAATACTCCAGAAGTGATACATGAATTGCCACAGAATTACAGTGAAGAGAAAGGAAAGATGTTTGATTTCAAGTTGTCCAGTATTAAACTGAGGGAAATCAGTAATAACGTATCCTACTTTCAGCGTCTTTTTGAGCATCCTAACGCATTCCAGGGGCAACACTGCTGCCTTGACCAAAACAGAATAAATGAACCTAATAGCTGCTATTCTCATTTTAATCCTCAAAACAGGATGCAAGTTCTACACAGGCTGTGCTGTCCCTCAACAGAAGTGAGAATTTCACTGTGAAATTTGCTGAATTTTTCTTATGTTATAATCAGGCAATTCCCATTTATAATAATGATAATATAATCTCTGTGATTTCAATTTACATTGTCAAGCACTTATTATGAAAACAGGACGTCTAGAATTTCTCCCAGCGTTATAGCTGTGTGTGTTTGATGGGCATCTCTTTCCCTATTCCTGCCCACTTAAGCTTTGACCTCCCTTCCCAAAGGACATCTGTAACTCTCTGTGTTCTCTGCTCTTGCCTTAAAGCATGTAATAGTTCAGAGAGATTTCTGCCCATCAATCTTTCAATCAGAAATTTTTCCATACCACAAAGATACAAAAACCTCAAAGAAAGGGCAAATTGCACATCTATGGAACAGCGCAGCTGGAAAATAAAGGAACCACTGAACAATGTAAAATGCCAAAGGCTTTGCTTCTTTCTCAGGAGACATTTTCAGTGAAGCAAATATAAAATAATGAAAAGTAGAGTGCCTAAGCCATGGTCTACTTTAAAAAGGAACTTGCGTGACTTTGGTCTTATAGCTGCCTTTCAAAGAAGTCCTTCCTTTTTTGGACCTATCAGTCCTCACCCCTAAAAAACCAACTTACTGTAACAGGCACCATGCAGGATGGCACCTCATTGAGAAACACAAGTAGGAGAGAAAGCAGTTCTCCTGTTTGCTTGGTAACATTATCCAACACTATTTCTTGTGCTCTCCCCTGATGTGAAGGATTCATCTCCCAAAGTGCTGAATAAACATGTCCCAGCAATGCAAGCCGTGGTGAAGGCGGGCTACTGCTCTTCACCACGGCATCAGTGGAGTCTGTAACTCGCTGTGGCTCCTTTCTGCAACAGACTGCCTCTTCAGCGACAGCACGCACGGCTCTCCCTCTGCCAGAGCAGGGCCAAACGCTTTGGTGACTGACCCAGAAAGCATCAGGTTTTTCAGTGTGACCTAGAAAGGTAACCTTTTTTCCTCCTGTAGTACAAACCAACGATCAATTGAGGCATTCAAATTACACTGTTTTAACCAGATGTTGCCAGCTTCTTTTTTTTTTTTTTTTAAAACCAATAAAAAATGGGCTTCTCTGGTGCACAGTGGGGCCAGGTGTGTTTAATAAGCACTGGGATATTAGGCTTCTCTAGGAGGATTAGCAAAAGATGGTAACTTACATTATAGTATGCACATTTCAAGGCATTACTGTATGAGAACATTTAAAATGGAGAAAAATCAGAGAATTCCCACAAAATGAATCTCGAATATGAGGAACTACTGAGAAGATTAAGGTTGAGAGAGTTCAATTAAAAAAAAAAAGGCAAAAAGCTTCCGTCCTTTCAGATAAAGAAATGGAAGGGATTGCTTAGCATAATTCAGGAGGATACAAGCATGAATTGCTTCTGTAAAGGAAATATAATTTATTCTAAGTAAGACACGGGCCAAGGGGTAAAACATTGTGGCAACAATTCCTTTAAAGAACAAGGTGTCCCATTGGGTGTGTGGAATAATTTTTAAAAGTCCCTCTTCTGAACAGAGTGTTGG